ACCTCAGTACTGACATTATTCCACTGGTAAAGAGCTGCTTGGAGCCATAGCTCAAGGCAAAGCCTTGAAGTAATAAAAGCAGGCTGGGGCCCAAATCCAGTTCTCTTTTGGTGGGTAAGTAGTGCTTACGTACCTAACTTTGAGCCATTTCCACAGGTATTTTTAGTTCTTATTCCCCTGCATATCTCTGTGGGTCACTCTGAGTATAGCCAGAAGGAGCTGCTCTGGCCACTCTGACTCAGCGTTCCCATTCCAGCAAGGTAGGCACATGTATACGTCCCTGAAATACTAGTCACCAAAAATCATGGCTAACAGCTGACAGAGAGAATCATCTACCCATCTGTTAGCTCAATAGGCCTGTGGTTAGGGTACAAGCTGAGAGTGCAGGAGACCTGGGTTTTAGGCCCCCTCCCTTCATGCAGACAGTGTTTGAACCTACATCTTGCACTTCCTAGCCAAGTGCTCTATGGGATAGACAAGGCCACTCGGCCATCTGGTCTACTATTATGACTATCAGAATTGCTTCTGTAATGCACTCAGAGTAAGATTCTCAGTCAAAGGTAGGCCATGGGGTGATGCCGTGCATGTCCTCATGTCACTGCAAAATAGAAATACCTGAGATAATATTAAATGGCCAACTTGGATACCAGAAGAGAGATGGCCATATACCCACATCAAAGTGGAGTTATGCTCAGTCTTGCTTGCCCCCTCTTTTAGCACTAGCACAAGTACTTTTATGCTACAATGTACTGTGCTATGTAAATCGTACCCTGTGGATGCCACCCACTATGGGTATTTGCTTGTTCATTTATGCTAAATTAGGAAGGGTGCCAAGTCTGTCAGTTGGCAATTAACTGCCATTTTCATGCGACAGCCAGGTTCTCTAAACATGGATGTCGGACTCATCTGGCCCTGCAGGCACAGAGCCAGTCCACAGGCCCATGGACCCTCCTGCTCCATCTCTCATGATGGAACCAGCAACCACAGCGCCTGCCCCAACTGGCTTGGGATCCACACTGCATGCATCACCACCACCCACTTCTGGTCTGGGACTGCCCCCTTCCCAAATTGGTGAGAGGGGGCACCATATGCAACACACTCCCAGACTGGCCAGAGCAAGTACCACGTACAGCACAAGTCTCTGTGTATGCGCTGCTGGCATGTGTGTCAATATAGACCATGGGGTAGACCTGAGGGTTAGAAGAAGGGACTCCAAAGGCTGGTTCCAGTCTGCAGGCCTTATCTTGTTCTAACATCTCCAGCTAAGAAAGCTGATTTGGGATTCACAGTGTATAAACTTAACAGAGATTCAGGTCCATGGGCATTTGGCCAGCTTCAGGACAGTGATTCTGAACACATTCATAAGAGGTAATGTGTGTAGGAGGTTTCTCCTGTGACCCCATAAAACTTCTTGGGAGAAAGAAAGGGTAATATAATGATTCCAGTGTCCACATGTGTTTCAACCGGAAGAAAAATAAATGTTACACTACATACATTAGAGACAAGCTTTTGTGTGTGCATACCCTAGAGATAAAATGTGAATGGGATGGTAACAGTGCAAGAATACGTGATTGAACTTGAAAGTAGGTTTATGCAACAGTTATTTAAATAAATAAATATAGCAACACAGAGAATAGCACAAGATGAAGCACTAAAGAAGAGCCAGAGTAAGAACGAACCAGCATATTTCCAGTTTCTGGAAAATACAGAAATTGAAATTAACTGTAATTTCAGAGGTTATTTGAAATTATTTGAAATACAGAGGTGTAATGTTAATCAATTAAGGAGTCTGTTTGCAAAAGCAAAAGTTTCCTTTCTTTTAACAGTGATCTTTATGTTTCTAGCCTTCTTTCCCCCAAACACATTGATAGAAATAGACACTACAAACAAGCATCCTATTGCCTCATTTGTCAGCTGATTTTATTTGGAATTAAATAGATTTGAGACATAAAGTTAAAATCGGAATAGTTTCTCTCTCTAACCAATGGGATCAAGAGCCAAGAGGTGAATGGATACCACATTAACCATGTAGACAACCCAACACATGACTAGATGAGATTACAGGTTGACTGTTCTGGAAGGAGTTTTTCCATAGATTTCAAGGAGACTAGGATTCCACCATCAATGTAGAGGAGATGTCAATGTCTGTGAGGACAGAAGACTAATACAAGGAAACTAGAGATGGCAGGAATGTTAGCAGAAAATAAGAGGGAGTTGGCATAGGAAAGTACAATCAACACATCCTGGGATGAGGATATAACAGGATCCAGAGTTAGCAGCAGGAGTGGCACCTTCTTGTGCAACTCTAATCCCATCCCTATCACTCTGGTCTCACTCCAGGTACCACCCTGTGCTCCTCTTGGCTGTTGCTATTACGCTAGGAAGCTGTCTCCAAAGAACCAGAATGATCATCTTGGGCGCCCTGTCCTGCACAGCCTTTCAGGCTCTGACAGCTGGATCTCAGGTCACATGGCCTCCTCTCCTCCCCTTCAGCCACTCCAATACCTTACAGCCTAAACAGCAAACATGAAGCCAAAAACATATAAAATCATGTGCAGCTGGGGTGCCTTTCTATAAGCTCTCCCCAGCCTTCTATTTAGTTCTTCTGGTTTCTCCCAGCTTGGGCCCTCCTGGGCCTAATCACAGTTCCCAGTCTCCTATATTGCTTCCCCATTCAGTACAGGGAGTTCCTTCAGCTAGCACAGACAATGTCAGTCTCCAGTTCCCTA